CCGAGTAGAAATCCAAGAAAGTCCAAAATCCAAGAAAATAACCAGTGAAGCAGTCTCAAGAAAGTCCAAATCCACAATGATGAAGATGAAAAGTGAAGAGATTCCAAGAGGGGAAATCCCAAGAGAAATGGAGAAGGAAGGAAGAGGTACCACTATGGGTCAGTGGCCAACCCTTAGCCCATTACCGCCAACAGATAGCGGGTGCTCTAACCTCACGCGAAAGCACTGACGCAAGCGGAAGAAACCTCGTTGGGCCCCACCCAGCCTCCCAACGAGGGCACCGATTTGATGACGGTACCACGCATACGCACTTTCCGTGTCCGCCACGGGTGCTCAAATCCACAATCCGCAAGCACTGATGGGCATCCTTTACCGCGGACGCATACGTGCGCCTTTTGACCGCAGGCGCGGTCGTTAAGGCACTCAGATGAAGTGCAAGATGGAAAAAGCCTTTACCGGACAGCCACCTCTGCCCGGGCTAGGATGCCAAATACCGCTGGCAACTACGGGCGCTAAAAACCCAGACGCAAGCGCCGACGTACCCCAGGAGTCGATGGGGGCGAAAGAAACTCTGCGAAACTACACCCGTCATCTCGCAAAGGCACCGTTCACCGTCGGTACAACACGTGGCCCCAAACCGTGGGAACCAACGGGCACCCTTTAACCGCGGGTACATACGTGCGCCTCTTAACCGCAGTCGCAGTCGTTAAGGCACTCAAACCAGTACAACTAGGGGTTACCCCCATCCTCATCTATGCGAAAGAAGGGCAGATCGTCCATAGGAAGGAGAGATCGTACCCAAATGTCAAGATCCTGCAGATTAGTAAACTCCCGCGTCCCCTCTGTACTATCCACGGCCCACAATGCCAACTCAGTCGTCGGGGCATTCGCCCGCACGTCACAATGAAACCACTGGACCATCGCGATAGAACAGAGGAAACGCAGTCTAGCATAAACATCATGAAAGTACCACGGGGTACCTTCTCTAAAGAAACAAGCTAGCTCTGAATGATGAGACTCCACGTGGATACACAAGAAGGACTGGGATATACACCACTGAATACACCGAAGAAGCACATCCATCCCTCCACGCTCCATTGGTTCCAACCTGAATGCAATATAAGAAAGAGCATAAAGAAACTTACCTGTCGAGTCACGCACGATCGCTGCAAATGCCCCACGTAGCGGGGCCCTCGCCACATTCACCTTGATGGTGCCACCCGGCGGTGGGACCCACTGAATAGGCACCACCCTCCTGCGTCCAGAGCCTCGTCGAACGTGCTCCATGATCCCCGACCATCGGGAAGGCAAGAGACCCCCGCTAGGCCAGCGACGATAGATGCACGCCGACACCGCCGTAGCCACCCGGAAAATAATGTGTGCAAAGTTGGGGCGAGCATCCCCATACTTGCACGCAGCATAGTGCGTCCAAATCTCCCAAAGAATGATCATCGACAGGCGGTGGAATAGGAACGAGAGCATCCTGCTCCTTGGCCTCTGCGCCCACCATATACTCAAGGCGGACCTCAAACTGTGATGTGTGCCCTGGATACGGGCAGACTCTGTGAAATAAGTCCAAACACGCCGCGTCATGCTCCCATGATAGAAAATGTGTGTAATGGTCTCCCGTCCTGGCGGCGAACAACATAAGCACCGAGAAGGCAAAGCAAAGCCAAATCTCGCCAGGACATCATCAGTGGGAAGGCGCCTCTCCAAAACGCGCCATGCAAGAAAGGACATCTTATAAGGTAAGTGTTTCTGCCAACACCTCTTAAGCACAATGTCCTCC